ATTTTTCTACTAATTATTTTGTCATTTCTTACTTTAATTCCGATGAAATTATTTTTTTATTGTTCCATTTTGTATACGTTACCAGCAGTGTTTTTCATTTTTTTTTCTTTTATGTGTGTGTGTAATATTTGGATAGGATATCGAATTCCGGATTCTTATTTGTTTAGATACTACACAAATTTCTTATATTAGAGATTAAATTTTTTTTTTTTGAAAGTAATATTACTAAAAAGTAGAAAACGAGAGTAATATGAATGCAGATTTTGTTAGCAATATATTTATCTCCTTATTTGAGTCTTTTTTTTTCAAAATTTATTTTAAATTACTCGTTCTTATATAAAAAAATTCTACATGTAAACTCAAAATTATTTTCTATATTTTAAACACACATTTTCTTAAAAAAAAAAAATCATTATTTCAAACATGTCCACTCAATAGAAGCCATTTTCAAGGGAAGGGCCATCAAAATGAAAAACCAGTGCGCATATGAATGCAATTTTAGTGCTAGCAAAATCTTCAATAGCCTAATTACTATTTTAATAATTATATTTTGTCTTCTACTGTCTCACAATTCTACTATTATTCAAATAATACAAATCATGTTCTATGATTTCAATGTCCATCCGCTTTTTCTATTTTTTTTTTTTAAGTATTAGCCTTGTCCTTTAAAAAATTATTTTTCCCCTAACTTTTTTTCAATTACATATTCTCTTAATAAATTAATTTTATTGATTGCAATTTAGGTGATATTAAATAAAAAGTATCTGATCTACGTGGTAGTAATGTCTGATGCATAGACTATTCAGTTCAAATTTTATCGTCAACGAGTTTCGTTTATAATTCGAATGTCATCTCTAATTTATAAATTAATCGCAAAATTAAACAATAATAAACATGAAAGGCAAATAAATAAGAAACGGGAAATAGAATGAAACAAAAGGGAATTATGATGTAAAAGATTGTCTACTTAGACGGTCACCTAACAATGTTTACTTTTTTTCCTTACCTTAGCTGAGCATAGTCTTTATATGTTGCATTAAAAAATAAAATTTTATTTTTAATATCCATTTTAGCTTGCGTTACAACTTTTTAATGTAATCTACGTTAGTATTGAATATGCTCTTAGTTCGATTGTATAGTAAAGTCAATTACTATATACCGAATATATACTTGATACACATGAAAATGTAAACATGTACGAGAAACGATTTTATATATCAAGTGACTTGTTTGGTGATTCGATTCACCATGTTTTGTAAATTCTCTGAAAGATGTAAATATGCATGCTCTAAATGAGATACAATTATATATATATATATATAGAATAGAATTATGGGACACCCAATTAGTGAGACTGATTACAATCTCCTATACAAAATTGTATACCTCGATTTGGAATGTTAGTGATAATTTCCCATTAAATATTTATTATTTTTTTATTTGTTAATCGATCTGAGGGCATCACGAAAGGATTCACATGTTAGAGCTCGAATCTTTATGCCACTGGTATTTGTGCTGGCATTTTCTTGAACTTTTAAATTTATTCATTTAAATATTAATCTTGAGATTGAACTGCTCAAATTTAAAAGAGTGATGTTACACGTACACCCTCCTCACAAGGAGGAGGACTCACTTCGAATAAAATATAATTTATCAGAAATTGGTCTCCCTCCAAGTAAATTGGTGCAGGGACGGATCCAAATTTGAATTCAAGATCGGGCTAAAAAATTTCAAGCCGGACTAATATGAAAAAAAGAAATTACCCATTAAAAATCTGTTTTTACAAAAAATAAAAAATAATAATAATAATTACCCTAAAAAAATTTTAATTGGACCAGGTGGAGGGGGGGGGGGCTACAACCCAGCTAGTCCCCCCCCCCCAAAATCCGTCCCTGAATTGGTGGACAGGGGGGGGGGGGGGGGGCTACAACCCAGCTAGTCCCCCCCCCCCAAAATCCGTCCCTGAATTGGTGGACACGATCGTGAACACCACATTATGTATAAATAGAATATTTCAATTTAAAATTATATATTATATGAATTTCGAAAACAAGAATATTCAATGGAATTTATTTGAAGAATTGATTATATAGGTAAATGTGAGAAATTTTTTTGTTAGCGTTACGTGATAATGTTAGACGGTAAGAAAAGAAAACAATCGCAAAAAGTCATAAATAAAAAAAAATATATATATAATAAATAACCTTCATGATATTTTTTCTATTTGAAGTACAAATAAATGTACTTTTAGGGATTGTTTGATAAAATTTTCGGTAAAAGTAGATACGATATGCAGTTATAAAAAATTGATAAAAGTTATGAATGTCATAAAAGATGTGTTTAAAATTGAAATTTGATCGATTAAAAAGTTGACAAAATTTATTTGACCTACACTACCCCCTCGAATAATAGTCGACATGTTTTCAAAATGATGCCGCCCCAAAATTAAACTTTGCTTTGCATAAAGTTAGGTGAGTAAAAATACCTTCTGAATTTGAAATCGCTACTAAAAACATTTTCAACGTAGCAATTACATTATTCAAGAAACCAATCAATTTACCTAATATTATTTCTTTAATTAGATTCTAATATTTGTATATATTTTCGAAGTAGCAGTTACATTATTTAAGAAACCACTCAACCTACCTAAATATTATTTCTTATTTTAGATTCTATTATTTGTAAATCGAAATTATTCTTGGGGTGCATGCACCCCGGACGTACCCTAAGAATGACCCTAAATTTTTAGCCCAGCAAAAATTAAAATCAAGATTTTCAGTGTGGATGCATAAAATTAATTATTGAATTAAAATCTAACATTTTAGTGCCTCTATCATTGACTTTCATGCCCACCAATTGCAAGAAAGACGTGACGTATTAGACCTATAAATGTTTTATTGGATGGATTGAAAAGTCGTTTTAACAAATAACTCCACAAATAGGACACGACTCTCCATTTTGCCTTCTCTAAGACAAGATTTTGCATGCTACTAATATTTTTACTCCATTCGCCCAACAAAAGTAAATTTATTTCACTTTTTACACAAATTAAGAAAATTATAATTAAAATTGAAAATATAATTTTTTCTTATATTTTCCCTAATATTCCCCTACATTAAGTAATGATTTAAATATGTAGTAGCTCATATTTGTCGATAACAAAAAATATTGAATAGGGGTATTAAAAAAAAATCATATACACTTTCAACAAGGAGAATGACCTATAATTTGGGAAATAATGTTATTTGTAATCGCTCACTACCACAGTCATCTTATAAAGGTTAAACCCTAACCTTAAGGGTCCCCTACCACTCTTGCCCTGGAGCATCGTGAGGGAGGTAAATCGCAGGTTATGCCTCCAAGGGTACAGGGTGGAAGCTGCTTGTACACTTGCACTTACCCAAGAGCCAAATTCATATTTCAGGATTCGAACCCTTGACGCAGCAGCCTCAAGCAAAACTGGATTTCTCCACCCTCCCCTTTTACCACTTGGAGATGTGCCCTGGGGGCCCACAGTCATCTTATATGACATATATATAGTGGTTAGTGATTTGATGCATTAATGTGGTATACACATCAAATCACTAATCATCACATGTATGTCACGTAGGGCAACAATGATAATGAGCGACTGTAAATAAAATTTGGGATAAAAGAAAAAGTAAAATAAACCTATTTTTATGGGACAGATTTAGCCCCCTTCGTACTTCAAAATTAGTCACTAAATGATATGCTCAATGAAAAATAGAATTAAATTATTCATTTAATTACATTTCTTGTTTAATGTCACATTAATGTTATCTAAACTGATATTTTAACACAAATGATGCTAAATAATATTATTCATTCTTTCACATGTAAATTTAATTTACTATAAATGGTTGGTTGTATAATTTGAATTCGAGAAATTCCAATTAAACATGTAGTTCTAGTTTCTTGTTAGATTACTTTGCTATAAGTTTGAATTGTAAAGATAAATGAGCTAATTTAGCAAAAAATTAATATAATTTCAGAAATAAGAACCCACTTGAAAATTATATTTGACTTGCTTTTTAAGTATCCAAACACACTTTTGAAGATAAATATAAAAATCTTGGTCATAAGATTTGAGGCTTGCATCTCTGTCGACATCTTATGATAAAATATCATACAGATTCTTCAGTCCCTCACGCATTGAGATTATCGTAGGGTTCACATCCCTTTAGCTCGTATCCGGTACCGATTAAAATTTAAATTTTGATTTAATTCAAAATGAATAATTTATTTTAACCACTCACGATTTTTTAATTATATATTTCATCAACTTTTATCAAAATCTACAAAAAAATCTGATTTTAACATTCACCAAATAGGCGCTTAATCAGATTATTATGCATAGAAATTAAAATCAAAATAAACAATAAATTTTAATAATGTATTTGATAGAACACACAACTTTTTAATAATATATTTTTTATCAATTTTTATCAAAATTTACTAAAAATTTAATTTTTAATTCCACTAAACAGGATTATAAATCTTTTATTGAATGGTAAAGAGTGGATGACAGCACCACACGCATAAAAGTAGTGAGTATGGGACAGATAGTGCTTGCTTAAACATTATTAATTTTATAATTACTATCATAATACTAAACTTGCAAGTTGATGTCACTGAAAATTGTACCAAAAGCATCTAAAGTCGCAAGCTTTAAAAGTCTCTCCCCAACCCCCTCTCGCTAGCTCTCTCTCTCTCTCTCCTCACGCACACAAAGGCCCACAAACTTGAGTTTTACCTACTGTTTGTGAATTCTTGTTTCTTTGTAAAAACTCAGTTAATTAATCTGCATATCAGTTTTAGTTTTATGCAGGCTGGGCTTTCTTGAATTCACAGATTACAGTTGACCTGTCAGGGAAGCCCAAGGAGGTTATGGTGGGGCCTAAGCATGGTAAACAAGAATCTTTTCTCATATTAAAACAGCTCAATAGGATTTACTGGGTATCAATAATAACAAGTTTTGATAAATTATATATATTTACATGTATGTATGTATCTGTGTAAGAGACTGAGACTGAGAAAGGGGATAGTTGTGTTGCAGTACTTTTTGTTTGTGGATGGGAAAATAAGAAGTCGTATGAGTATTAGACCCTACCAGAATAAATATTGCCATGTTCCTGTATCTCAGGCGACCACAAGAAGTTTTGGGTATTTGAGAAGATGAACAATAAAATTTATTGCATTTGACCAAAAAAAAATAATAATAATAATAAAATTCTTTGGAATATCCAAGAATCTTTACACAGTGAGTGGCTCTGATTCTTTCGTTTGGTTTTAATTCATCTCTCTTGTTTCTGTTTTCTTATGTCATAAATTCTTCTCTTCCTTGTTTTGTCTTTGTTGAAAGTGTATTTATACTGTTTCCTTTTTGCTTATGTGAAAACAAAAGAATCTTGATGTGATGAAGAATCTTTTGTAAAGTTAATTTTTACCTTTTCTTTTTCCTGATTGGTGACATCTTCAATTTTTGTGACTCTGAATAGTTTAATTTCATTTTAAGATTGTTATTTTCAGATTAACCTTCTTGATCTCCATGTCTAATTTGCTTCTTTGGTTCAGTTTATTATAGACTTTCTATTGATACTGTTTACGTCAATCAGACAGGTTGGAAATTTGAATCTAGGAAGTCGATATTTTACTGCTCTGGAGAATCTGACTTATAGACAGATTAGGATCCTATAGCAAATAGGTGCTGGAATTTTGGAGAAAGATTTGTGATGGATGAAGATGTTCTTCCTCTCAATACGATGTTGGGGACTCCGTCTGAGTGTTTTATGGATTTGGATTACATGGATGAACTGTTGTTTGAAGGATGCTGGTTGGAAACAACTGGTGAATCTGATTTCCTAAATTACAGTGCTTCGACTCCCAATTCTCTGTTTGACCCGTCATTTTTATGGCCTACAGTAGAAGCAAGAAATGGTGAATCAAATGGGAGCCCATTAAAGGAGAGTCTAGAAGAGAGGCATCGATCATTTTTCCCTGATAATCTGTCGACTAATCAGCATCAAGGACCAGAACTTTCTATGAATTCTCAGTCTTATATTGGAAATATTCAAAGCAACGTAGCTTCTTCGGGTCAATCTGAAAATTATTTGGTTGGAGGTTCTGAGCTGAGCAGAAGGTTGTGGATTGGACCTAGGGCTTTAACATCAGTAATGGACCGATTGATGAGGGCACTTAGTGATATAAAAGATTGCTCTAGAGATAAAGATGTACTCATTCAAATATGGATACCAGTTAACAAAGGTGGAAGGAATGTGCTGACGACCAATGATCAACCTTTCACACTCGACCGTAATTGCCCGAGGCTTGCTCATTATAGAGAGATTTCTATGGATTATCATTTTCCTGCTGAGGAAGATTCTAAAGAAGCCATGGGACTGCCTGGTCGGGTCTTTAGGAGTAAGGTTCCTGAGTGGACTCCTGATGTTCAGTTCTTCACAAGAGAAGAGTACCCAAGAGTTGGTCATGCACAACGGTACGATGTTCGTGGAACCCTTGCTGTTCCTATTCTTGAACAAGGTAGTCTCAATTGCTTGGGTGTCATTGAAGTTGTCTTGACCACGCAAAAGATCAAATATCTTCCCGAGCTTGAAAGTGTCTGCAAAGCTCTCGAGGTCAGCTTTTTATTCTTATTTTCACAAAGTTCTAATAGGAAGTTAATGTGTGCCTTCGTCCTACCTAGCTTTGAATATTGCAGTTCTAGTGGCTGGTAAAAGTTTCATAACTAGATGAGATCTCATGGGACAGTCCCGAATATATAGAAGTCACCTCGTTACTCAAATCAAAGGGGAAGATTTTTGTCTAACTAAATCATGGCATCATTGAAAGCCCTGCATATAGATATATCTGCTAAACAGATGTATCTAAATTCACCATATATTTTCATACAAGAGGGTGTTTCAAGAAAGGTCTCCCTTTACCTTTTTGAGCTTTGTTAGCTTCAAAATGCTAGTTTATCATCCGAAGTGCTCAATAAATGAACAGCACTCAGAAGTGCAGAAGAAAGATTACTGGGAAAGCATTATCTATGGTAAAGCTTATCCTTTTAGATTGACTGAGAAGAACATCAACCATTATTGTTGTCGTATATCATCCATCGTTGATCAAAGACAATTCTTGGACTAATCCTCTGGGGTTGTCATGAAATTACTGCATACACTCTTCTATTTGGTGATTGTCGAGGGAAATGAATAAAAATTTCTAGACATGTGCCTAGAATATCTTATTAGAACGTTTGTTAAATGCTACTATAACAGCTGGATCTTGTTTATTGCTCCATATTTGACTACCGATGTAAGAGCACCATTGATGTGTTTGCATTGACTTTCTTGTCTTTATCGATTACATGGTCTTTTCATATATTCTTGCTAAAAATATATTGGTTCCCTAGTTCAATAACGTGTGAAATCTTATTTGACATCCTTCACATACTGCATCCCAAAGATTTGTCATTTATGTGGAAGTGTTGAGGGATCTTGCTTTTATTGTCCAGATAAACTGGTTATTTACTACCTTATTTATAGGTAATGAGAAATCCTTTATTGTTTATTAATGTGCAAGCCTGAAAATGTTTGCTTATAGGCTGTTGATCTCAGGAGTTCTCAAGTTCCGAACATTCAGAAAGCTAAGGTAATTTTAGGTCTGAAATATTCCATTTCTCCATAAAAGATATGTTTGTGTATTAATACAAGTAGTTCTGTTGCAGACATGTGATTTGTCTTATCAAGCTGCTTTACCCGAGATTTTAGAGGTTTTCAAATCTGCTTGTAGATCACACAGATTGCCATTAGCTCAGACTTGGGTTCCTTGTTTGGTACAAGGTAAAGGGGGATGTTGGCATTCAGATGAGAACTTAGCCAATTGTGTTTCAACAGTGGATTCTGCTTGCTACATAGGTGATCCCCGTATTCAGGATTTTCATGAAGCTTGCTCTGAGCACCACTTACTAAAAGGTCAAGGTGTTGTTGGGAGAGCATTTGGAACTAATCAACCTTGTTTCTCTCCTGATGTAACTGCTTATAGCAAGACAGAGTACCCACTTTCTCACCATGCAAGAATGTTTGGATTACAAGCTGCTGTAGCTATACGTCTACGGAGCGTCTCTACTGGTTCAGCTGACTTTGTTTTGGAGTTCTTTTTGCCAATGGATTGTGCGAATCCTGAAGACCAAAAGAAGATGCTCACTTCATTGTCTAAAGTCATACATAAAGTTTGCTGGACTTTACGCATTGTCGATGAAGAAGAATTGCAGGAAGAATATGCCTTGCCAGTAGAAGTGGGGAATCCTCCACCAGTAGTTAAACGTAGTAAAGAAGTTCCAAAAGTGGATCCAATGCAGTCTTCGATGCTTTTACGTGATGTACCATCACAATCTTCAGGTGATATGAACCTTCAAGAGAGTGCTAATACTGTTTCAGTATCCCAGAATGAAAAACCAAAAGAAATGTCCTTGGAATTGAAGCGAGATCCATCTGATTTGGACTCAATAGCAGGCATCTTGGGTGGAAGTCCTACATCTGCTGATGATAGCTCACTGTACACGAAGAAAACAACAGACAAAAAACGTATTAAAGCAGAGAATGTCATCAACTTGCAAGTTCTTCGACAATACTTTGCTGGGAGCCTGAAAGATGCTGCCAAGAATCTTGGTGGTAAGTAACAAAATTCTCATCAAAATTAAATGGAAAATGAAAGATGATGCAATTGAAATTAACTCAAGATATTCTTCCTATGGACTATCACTGATGAATTGGTGCTTGTGTGTGTGTGTGTAAACTGTTTCTTTAGGTTCTGGTACATGATTTTAACTCAGTTTTCACTTTTCATCTCTCATTTCAATTTTATTTTCTCTCTTTATTTTCAGTTTGTCCCACCACTTTGAAGAGGATATGCAGGCAGCACGGAATAAAGCGTTGGCCGTCTCGGAAGATCAAGAAGGTTGGTCACTCCCTACAGAAAATCCAGCGCGTAATTGACTCTGTCCAAGGTGCCTCAGGTGCTTTGCAGATTGAGTCCTTCTATTGCAACTTTCCCAAACTGGCATCCCCTAACACCTCAAATGTAAAGCCACTTTCAAATTCAAAATCGACAAATAATTCAAAACCATTAGACAGGCTGCATAAGAGTGGCATTTTGAGTCCCCCGGCTGCTGCATCTTATTCGCCCCCAATTTCCTGCAGTCAGAGTTCCAGCTCAAGTCAATGTTGCTCTAGCAGGAGTCAGTCAAATCCTTACATATTGAACGTTGAAGGTCAAGAAGTTCCAATGTCTAAAGAAGAATCTGTTAATGGCTTGCTAAAGAGGACCCAAAGTGATGCACATCTCCATTTGTCGGGCGATGGACCAAAGTACCTCTGGAGATCTCAAAGCCACGTGTCTTTTATGGAGCTTCCTAAGCCAGAGAATCTCCCACATGAACCAGAAGACCGAGGCAGACAATCTCAAGAAACTGATGCACTAAGAGTCAAAGTCACTTATGGGGAAGACAAAATCAGGTTTCGCATGCAAATTAATTGGGGATACAAAGATTTATTGCGAGAAGTTGCTCGGCGTTTTGGTATAGATGGCACCTGTGATTTCCATATCAAATACTTGGATGACGACTCTGAATGGGTATTGTTAACATGTGATGCTGACCTCGAGGAGTGTATTGATGTATGTCGAACGTCTAGGAACCAAACAATTAAGCTCTCCTTGCTTCTGGATTCCCAGCTGCATATCAGTGGCTCTTTTAGTAGCAGAGGTCCTTAGGGATTCGAGCAGAAACGTCCAGCATCTACTTCCTTGGGGTTGAAGCTGTCTGGAAGCCTAAATCATCCTCACCAACAGTTCAAGTGCGAATTCTAACTTGAAGTATGTCAATTCTTTAACAGTGTAGATAAGATATGAACAAATTTTTTGTTCTTATCATATAGCAGGCATTTCTTGGTAAAATGCTGGTACCGGTATCTGAGCAAAGGTCCATATATTTATCCAACTGTCAAAATTTTGAGTTGAAATTCTAGGCTTGAAAGGATCGCCAAAATGTCCTTACTCACTCCTGATTCATTTGCACAGAGGGCAGCTGACAACTTTAGAAGAATGACAATTCGATCGTTCTGAAGTTGGCTGAAGGCTTCAACCCTTTCAATCGTCGAAGCTGTATGTCCGGAAATTGAATAATGTATAATATGAGTACACACATTAAACTTAAGTTATTGCAATTTGTAGTGTGATTAGCTTGAGGGGTATGATACTGGAATACACAATTGTTTCCACCTTTAGAAATTTGTGGAGTTTTATTGTGATGGCTTGTTAGCCTACATGCTTTGCTGCATTTAGACAGCAATATGAAGATGAAAAGATGGAAATGAAACATGATGTTCTGTCTCAACAAGCCATAGGTTTCTTTTTTCTTTTCTATTATTTTTTTCTTGTCTCTTTTTTGATAGCAAAATTAACTTTCTCACAACCATTAAAACAAAACTCTTATTTTTCATACTCATTTTCAACCACATACTCTTTCAATAAAATATTTTGCATGTAAGCACAATTTTTTTTCTTTTTTCTTTTTAATCACACATTATCAAAAAATTACAATTCAAAAATTTATTTTCCTAGAATACTCCTTTTAATGATTGTCAAATATGTGTTTAAACCGTCTCGAAATACCGATAATTTAAAAACTGGCAAACAGTCTGACCAAAGGAGCACTTCGACACAAAATAGTAGCTAATGAAATGACTTATAGACTACTTCATTCCTCGTACGGGGTTTGAAAAAGTAAGTGAATCAATGAACAACACTATTTAACACTACTGATAATAACACTAGTCTAGTTGGCAACATTACTAACATTAAATTACAGGCTCAATTAAATATAACGAATAATGGCTCATTTAATAGGGCCTGTAGTATGCTGATGCTTAAACTGATTTTCAAAACCACTAATACTAAATAACATTATTCTCGGACAAAAGTGCTACAATATCAACAAGCTATAATTGGGTTCTTGAGTTGGGTCAACTTCGAAGAATGCTTCATTACCAAGGCCACATAGGCCCTGGTAAGGGGAATAACCGGTCAACTTCTGCAAAAATGTAGGGTCTTCCACTTTTATGCCAACACCAAGATCCATATAGTGTTTCCAAGCCAATGGCTCAGACATGTACAAGTAAAAACACAACTACTAGTATTAATCAGTAACTCCGGTTTCTGGGTAAATTATTATGTGGAAGATTTCCGCCGCTAGGTCCGACCGATCAATGGTGATGCAGGCTACGACCATCTCCATGCCGTTGTTCTTGGCTAGTTTGAGCTTTTAAGTCCTTTGGTGTCATTTGTATTGTACTAATTTGTTCTAAAGTCTCCAAAACTTGTTCCATATCAGGCCGGAGTTTTAGGTGAGGCTCAAGACACTTTATTATGAGTTTGGCTGTTCGAAATGCACCTTTGGATGGGTATTGATTCTCAAGACGTGGATCCATTAGTCGTCTCAACTTCTTCTTATTTGGTAACAAAGGCCTGGCCCAATCAACCAGGTTAGTTTGTCCATTGGGCCGATTCGGATCGAGGATTCGTAGGCCTGTTATTATTTCCAGCAATACCACTCCGAACCCATAGACATCGCTTTTCACGTACAAATGACCTAAAAGTTTAGCATTACATGTCTTAATTCGAAATAATTCTATAACATAGTACGTGACATCCTAAGATGTAAAACAATACTCGAGTTATAAACTACCTGTGGCCATGTACTCGGGAGCTGCGTAGCCATACGTGCCAACAACCTTAGTCGTTACGTGTGAATTACCATCAATCGGACCTAACTTGGCAAGTCCGAAATCGGAAAGTTTTGCATTGAATTCCTACCAAAAAAAACTATTGAAATGACTTTGAGTGAGAAAACAAAATTAGAATTGGGATCAAAGAATTTAACCTACCCCATCAAGCAAAATGTTTGATGCCTTAAAATCTCTGTATATGACACTCTTTTCCTTAGTGTGCAAGAAAGCAAGTCCTCTAGCCGCTCCTATTGCTATTTTGATCCTTGTATCCCAAGGAATTGGTTCGCCTATTCCCCCTGAAAATGTAACATTATCATAAAAATAAGGGATTATTCGGTCGTGATTATAAGAATTGATTTTTTGATCGTTAAAGAGAAAAATAGTTTCCACCTATGAGTGAAAAAATCAAAAATTATGATTGGAATAGCGAAATAACAGTTAAAATTTTGATCTTTTGGGGGTAAAAAATTACTACTAAGCGGGAGCTAAGTTAGATTGTACAAGAATATGACAAGAGGCTTGTTATTATCCAACCAAATTATGTATCTAGACGAGCATATCAAACATACATGAAAATTATTATATATTTTTTCCTTACTTCTGAAAAGGTGGCTTTCTAAACTTCCCTTCTGCACGTATTCATAGACGAGAAGAAATTGTCTCTCTTCCCAACAGTAACCTAATAACTTGACCAGATTCGGATGGGAAAATTTTCCCAAGAACTTTACCTCCGCCTGCATTGAATACAAAAAAAAATCTACTAATTATTGTGTATAATACAATTTAAAAATTCCTGAAACAAACAACAGAGAATATATAAAAATGAAGGGATTATTGTTATATTTTCTAAAAATCAATAATTATCAGGCTGAAGATGTTGACTTTTCTAAGTCAGCTTACATGACTTGGTGTTTGTGCTCAATAAAAATTTATATACTTTGTCAATATCTAGCTAATTACTTAAAACGCACGATATTATTAAAAAATAACGAAATAACGGTTTCGAACCTAACATAAATTATAAATTAAATAATCCCAGAACTAAATGATGAATTGATTTACTTGCATTCCAATTATTTGGATTATTCTCCTTTACCAGGGCGTATTAAGCCATTTGTACAGAAAATTTTTCACAAAATTTGGCCAGATTACTTTCATGTGTGAGACCCATCGTGAATGAAAAATTATCAAAAAATACGATCACTCACCCTCCATGTGTGTGCTCTGACAGGTTTCTGTACGAAGGCTGCTGTATGTACAGCATGGTTGTACCAGGGCCACATATGCCCTGGTATTAGCATTGTTCTTACTACTTATTTTTCTTATTCAGTGAAGAAAGGTATTAATTTTTATTTAATTTCTATCAAATAGAGACTGGAATACCCCACCTTGGGGCGACCGACCAGAGTGAAATACTGTATGTAAGATTTGTGCAAACTACTATCGAAGTCCGTCAAAGAAAATTTTTGTGGTAAATAGTTATAGGGTTCAAAACGGGACAATATCGAGTCGATCGATGGAAGTATTTACCTGCCATTCCTTTAATCCTTGTGCACTATCTGGATTTGATTTTTTGACAGCAACTGGGATTCCAACACCAACTCTTGAAGGTGAATATGTATTATTGTCAACCCAACCCTTGAACACCCTCCCAAAGCCTCCTTCTCCTAACAAAGTATCAGGCCTGAAATTTCTTGTTGCTCTTTTCAGTTCAGCAAAAGTGTACAGTTTCAAGTTTGGACCAATAATTTGACCGCTTGGAGGAACAGTTTGACCATCATCATCACCACCTCCTCCTTCACCACCTAGATCAGCCGGTGATGGCGATGAGGATGATTTTCTGGTGTTGATAATCTTGTTCTTGGTGGACTGTGCATTATCTTGAACTCAAAATAACAAGAAGGAAATATATATTAACACAGTTGAATCAAATAACTGAGTAATTAGATGATGAAAAGAGAAATTTTTACCTGTGCCTATGGTAGTAGGTTTGATATTGTTGGTGCTGGGAAGATCATCTACGGGCTTCGGCCAGCAGTTTCCCATATCTCTCACTCTGTATCTTCGTTATTCTGAACTTTCTCGAATTGATTACAGTATGTTAGCAACTATTATGAAGCTTCGATATGGAGTCTGAGAAGTAGAGGAGAAGCAACCACAGAGGAAAATGTGTAGCACGAAGAACCGAGGATGCTTCTTTATATACACACATATTCTTAGGCAAATTGAAGAGACGAAAACGTATATTTCTCTGTTGACTTTTCCGACTTGCTTTCTCTCTATATATGTGACGTGTTTTTGAGTCTACTTGTCAATGCAGTTTTATTTTAACATTTATTTATTTATTTTGTGGACGAAAATGAAAGGGGAGAAGACACCAAAAAAGTAAAAAAGAGTTTGGATCTTGGGTTGAACTAAAAAGCGAGAGAATAGAGTAGAAAAGTGGGTTGCAAAATGACTATGGCGATTTTACCTTTAATGTTGTGTATGAATCGTTACGGTAGAAATAATCTCCTACTTTTAGGGCAAAATTTTTTTAACGTTGACGTAGCAAGAGAAATTTAATTATGATTTCTCCTATCCACTGAGGGCAGACGTCCGGACTAGTGTCGCTATGGAATTCTAAACTTTTTAAGTAGTTAACTATACTTTTAACTTTATTTTCCACCCTTCATTTCATTTCCTTCAATTAATAATTAAATAATATTAATGATGTGACAAATAAAATTGATAGTTTTTTTTTTTCAAAATGACAACATTAAATCCTTGTTTGGTTCGGATTAAAGTCTAGATTTTAATCTAAATCAAGTTAATAATTAATTTTAACTACATATTTTAAGAGACCATAAGTTTACAACAATACATTTCATTAACTTTTATCAAAAGAGATAATAGCAAAAAGCCCCCTGGAAATGTTTTCATTTGTGATATATTCCTACTTATTGGAAATGGCAGAGAACCCTCTATTTTAAACATTTTGTGCGAAAAAACCCTCCTACCATCTAATTTGCCACTAAAAACAATAAAAATGCCAAAATTAAAAGTAATAATTACAATTTTAATATCCAAATTTTTTATTCTTTTATAAATTATACCCAATTTTTTATTTTTATTTTTTATTTTTATGTACCACCCACAATGCTAAACTTTTTAAACTTTTTTTTCCACCCCACCCCACTTCATCTTCTTCCCCAAAACTTTATTATTTTATTTAAACTCTGTCATTTTTACTGTTTTTAATGACAATTTTGATGGTAGGAGGTTTTCACGCAAAATGTTTCAAATGGGGAGTTTTCTGCGATTTTCAATAGGTTGGGGGTATATCGCAAATGAAAATGTTTATAGAGAGTTTTCTGCTATTAATCTTTTTATCAAAATCTACTAAAAATTTGATTTTAATACCTAGCTTTGAAACCATTTGAAAGGTACATTGACTAATTGAGTAAAAAATAAATAAATAAATAAATTCAATGAACGCAAACAAGTTTCAAAGTGAAGCGAGTGTCGGTAAAAATTTAGAGTTGAGTAAACTCTCGAAACATGAAAGTACAGCTACCAGCAGGATGTTTTCCCCTAGGAAAGAAGGAGGCCAAATTTGATTTTACTCATGGAAAATGAAACTAATTGAGCATGATCATGTAAATTGTAATAGATGTAAGATTGAAGGCCCACACGCATGCGTCTAGGGATGACAATCGGGCTCATCGGCTCGGGCCGCCCGTGACTCAGCTCGGGGCTCGGTAGAACCCAAGCCTAGGCTCGGGCCGAGCCGGACCGTGAGCTCGCGAACTTTAAAAAAAAAAAAAATAATAATAATAAATAAAAATAAATAAATAAATAAATAAATAAATATATATATATTTTGAGGCTGCCTTGGCAGCAAAACTGTTGTCTACCTTTTAAGGCAGCGAACTGTTGCCTTAAAAGGCAGCCAAGCAAGGCAACAGCTTGGGGAAACGAGCCTCCTCGGCCCTGAAAAAGCCCAAGCAAAAGTTTGGGCAGAGCCTTTTTTTTTGTCGAGCTTTTGTTCGGTCCGGCTCGAGCCCACAAAAAAGCTCGGTCATTTTAGCTGGATCAAAGCCTGAGCCGAAACTTTAGGCTCGCAAGCCAGTTCGGTCCGGCTCGTTTACATCCCTACATGCGTCTGATTTTACTTATAAAATAAAATATTAAAATGTGTCTAATAATATAAATATTCTAAAATTTAATGGCTAGCTAAGTAACTTTGGATAATAATAGAATGCCTTAGGTAAGATGTTTGAATCATTTACGTGCCTGCATTATATGATGAATGCAGTATATATTTTTAAGGAATGCAAGAAATCTCCCTTATTTAGTAGTTAAAGTTGTGAACTATGTTTTAATCCTTAATTGGTGCACAATATTTCATAAAATTACTATAAAAATGAATATTAATAATAAATTGAGCGATACTCTTTGTTTTCATCCATGGGCATACAGTTTGACAGGCCTACCCTTTCGGAGCTTCAAGGATGTTGCCCCATTCCCCATGTAAATGTGAGCGATTCTTCTCGAGGAGCCTGTATGGCTTGCCTTGCCATTTGACCTTTCTTCCCAGGTGACTAGGAAGTGAGCTATAATTTTCTTTCAAAATCGCACATACATCTCCTTGTGTCAAAGCCTTCTTGTCTACCAATCTATGTAAAAGTTTTATGTTTGAGTACTGGCCTTCCACCTTCCTCTCACGCTTCTTAAAAGAGTGAACTATTTTCTTTTACAACTCACTCATCCAATCTTTTGTTAACGACTCTTTCTTCTCGGTAGGGATGGCAAAAAAATTTGCCATACCCGATACCTCCAACCCTGCCTCGAACGAGAGAGGATTACTCGCTTAATCGGGCATTCGGGTTAGGACAGGGCAAGGAATTTCGTCTCGGGCACGTACAGGTAATAGGGGCCCCTCCTCTCCCCTTCCCGCCCTGCCCCACCCCACCCCGCTTAATTTTTTTTATTTAAGAATTTAATATTTTAAATGGAAGATTCTGTGAAATTTCATTAATTCTAATAGAAGATAGTAACTAAAATTATCTAAGAAATATGATAAACAATAAAGACCTTAATTTGCTAAACACATTTGAATAATTTAAATTTTAAAAATAAATTAATTAATTAAAAATTTTAATAATTATATTATTGTCCCACTTTAATGAATGTGGGTAATAAAATGAAATAAAAAAAATTAAACATGTACGTAAATGGGACAAATGCCCCATTCTACCTTAAACTGGTGATGGGGTGGGTACGGTACGGGGTGGGGCGGAGCGGGGGATCTCGCTTAGCCCCGTTGTTATCCCTACTTCTCGACTAGCTGCTCGACTTCTTGCATGAAGTTTTCGGAAGTCGGTTTTTTCTTTTCTTTTTCCTTCACAAGAAAAGTATTTTTTAAGTATGTCCTTTAGTTACTTCAATAAGATGTAACATCGAAATGGACCTTTAATAAACAAAAAGAAAAAGAATAAACCTTAAGAAAATGGGATTTGTTTTTGGCTTAATGCCTAATTAAGAAAGTGAAGTGGGAGTCACGTGCATGCATTAGATAAATAACAAAAACGTCAATGGTTTTGTCACCACGCCTATTTGCTCCATATGTCAGCCTGCATTTATTTTTTATTCGATATTTAATTAATTATTTTTCCTAATTCACCTTCAAAATATTCTTGGTGAGTTCAGATTTTCACTTCTAGTATCAAGTAATGCTTTATGCTGTCGCAATGTGAAGGTTCGATTTCTGAGATATGGAATTGGATTCCTTATAAGCGCAGTATACATACAGCTTTTGTTCCTTGCTCTGTTGGGACACATCTCGTGATTTACCTTCCTCACAAAACTCTAGGGGTGAGGCGATGGAAGCCCTCAAGGTTGGGATTCAACCTTTTTTTTCTTTTTCTTTTTTTAAGTAATGCTTTATGTTCTTTGAACCATACTACAGGAACAGATTAAAAAACAGACTCAAAAAAGATCCAACACATATTGATTTGGGATTGAACACTTTTAAAAAAATAATAATAATAAATCACCTCCAATCATTAATTACCACAACAGTCTAATTTTTTCAGCCATGTCCCTGAACCTACTCAAAGGGATTTATCCATGTTCTTGTCCTTTAATACTTGACTTCTCTTTTGTCGATAATTGGATATGACTTCACTGTCGAATCTTTAAAAAAATACCCTTCCTAGTTTTTGATAATGGGATAAGCATAAAAATATTCAAGTTTGACTGATTCCTTAACAATTTCTTTGGACTATTTTTATTTTCAAGGTGCAAAAGGTAACTTTAATGCTGAAATTTAACAGGCCAAAATAAGGAATACTTCCGTTTTGCATAATTTTTACTTTCTATAAAACAACACTAGAGGAAATTATCTGAAGAATGCCCTGTTCTTCCACAGGGGCTTTACAGGGTTCCTCATCATGTGGAGAGGCTCACCTGTATGTGTGTGTGTGTCTATATATATATATATATATATATATATTGTGGGGCTCACGTTGTGTCTTCCCTGACAGGAGCCTATGAACCAGGCTCCTATAACTGTAGCATCACTCAAATTATCTTAGGGCCTGTTTAGCATAGTTTTTCATTTGTTTTTAATTCCTGTAAAAAAAAAAAAATGGGTACAATTATTTACATCCTCATTTTTTATATATGCATCCCTATTAAAATATTAAAATTTTAAAAAATTACTATTTTCATTAATGTCAAATTTCAATATTGTCCTTATTATATTCATTCATTTAAACATTATAGATTCATACAAATTTTATATATTAATTCCATTATAAATATATTCCTAATAAAATTTCGAAAATCACTATGTTCATGCAATCACAATTAATATTTAATCTAGCTCTTACTTTTTATTTTTTATATTGTCATGTTGATATTTTAATATTTAGTTATAAGGGTTAGCAAATCTCCGTTTGTTCTCATTTTTATCAATATATATTTTTCTCTATTTTCTTTTTAACCACACGTTATTTATTAAAATAACGTTACTATTAAATTAAAAAAATTTCCTTATTTTTCATGCACACATTCTCCATCAATCTACTATTCTAAAATTCATTTTTCCATAAAAATGGGTGTCAAACACCCTCCAAATCTCTCTCTCTCTTGAATTTATAGGATTCTCTCAAAAGTATACTGCTTACGCAGCCAAACAAA